CCTCTCGCCCGACACCAACAGCCCCGTCGAGAGCCTCGTACGTCGTCGTCCAGTGGCGTGCGTGATCGTGACGGCGCCGCCGACGCAGTTGGACCGAGTTGCCCGATGTTGTGTAGTCAGCGGTGACGTGGAAGTCGCGGAGGATGACGTCGTCGGCTGTGTATCACGCCGCGTACTACGACTACTACGACCTCGACGACTGCGGTCGAACGCACTTCGATGGAATCGCGCGCCCAGAGTACCCACCCGACGACGAACAAGATACGGCTTCATTGACCAGCACAAGCAATACACCGTCCTGTATGCACAGATTGATCGAAGACGGCAGCGACAACTCGATACAGAGCACTGTAAAAAGTGCAGCGGCTTGGGTACACTTGATTGACACTCACTGCGCCCCGCAGACTTTGACGACAGGGTATACAACTGCGTCGTGACCCCGCATGCAAGTATTGTTTGCATGCAGCCTCGTGGGTTCGAGGTGGGTTCGAGGTGCAGCGTCGGCTTGCCAGCATGTGCCGAATATAGGCGCTGATTCCGCACCTCATGAACGGCATGTGCCACCTCAATACCACCCGAGGGTGATACAATTTCCAAGTCATAAAAAAGGTTTTCGCAAAATAATTTCTCCATTTTTAGCCAATCCGAGAGGGCGGAGATGCCACCACGCTGCCGCCGACGCTAATGATCGCCGATCTCGCGTCGGAAAATAAAATCGCCGAGGCTTTGGCAGGTGATAGAAGACGCTCCGGGGAGTGCATCGCGCCATGCCTGGTAGTCGTGCGAGGGTTACAGTCCGAGGAATCGACTGTTTTATTAAATATGGCATGCGCCATATTTCGCCACAAATGGCCACATGTTGTCGCTCATCCGGGAAACCGTCACCGACTTGCCACTTGGTCACGCCGACGATGGACCGTCCAATCGTGTCGCTGCAGCCCGACTGCGCGCGCCTCGTCCTGCGCTACATGGACACGCCGAGACGGTGGTCGGATTCTTGCGCACGCTGGCCGCCGCCCTCGAGCTCGTAGGCTTCCTTCCGCTGCGTGACGTCTGGCCCGCGCTGCACGTGCGCGCGTGGATGCTGCCGCACACGCTCGAGCGAGTCATGGGCGCGCTACCGCTCTACGATACGGTGCATGTATACAGCCGCCACCACATGCATGGCCACATGCAGGCCTTTGACGCGCGCTACCTCGCTGGAGCCCAGCCGCTGGAGACTGCTACCGCCTTCAACGTAGGACTCGAGTGCCAGCACGTCAACGACAACGATGCTTGAGCTCGATATTGGTGCGCTCTCCAGCTGCCCGCGACTCGTTTCGCTACACGTGCCGGTCACGACGGCGCCGTCGCGTGGCGCCTCGCCTGTCGGTCGTCCGCCTGCCCAAGCCCGATGCAAGCGAAATGCTTCCCGACGAGAGCGTACAACATGTGGTGGCTATGCTCTCGGCAGGTGACGCGGCTCGAGCTGCGGTCCATCGACGCCGCGTTGCTCGCCACATTGAGCAAGACGCTGCTTGCGTCGTCAACCGCGATGACAGCGCAACCCATGGGTCAACACGACGACGTTTGCGCAAGCACTTTTCACGGCTGACGACGCTGCTCTCGCGCTCAGAACCAACCAGCTGCCCACTCGGTGCTTGCAGTCCCTGCTCGAGACGACGCCAACGTCACTCGATCTGAACGCACTTTGACCTGACGATGACGGACGGCAGTCGCTGGCACCTTATCTCGCTGCGCCATCCCAAGGCGCGTGACCTCTCGACCCTTACACAGCGCTCCTCTCATATGACAACTGTCAACCCCAGCTTGTTGCTGCAATGCTACGGCATTTGCCGCAGCTTCCGACCCTGTGCTTGGCCGGAAATGGCCTCCAGGATGCGACAGGACGCTGCTCGTACCGGCACTGCCTCGTGGCCTCTGCGCCTTGGACGTGAGTGGCAACCAGATCAAAAGCGCTCCTGCGATACCGAGTGCGCCCTGGTCACAACATCGCCATCTCTGCGCCACTATCGCAAATGCCCGGTGTTGCGTATCACGTGGCGTTATAGCTATGGCAATC